ACGTTGTTAGCAGGGACAGAAACAGAACAATTGTGAGATCTTACTTTGGATCTTTGTCTGGCTCGAAGCCTATTATCCAGACGAATGGTTAATTTTATTAAATCCTCCAAGGTCGCAGGTTCGTCTATAGTAGCCAGTTCGTCCTTTATAGATTCATCTAGAGCCTTGAAATAAGCGCTTTTAAGCGCGGGTTCATTCCATCCGGAAGCAGCGGCTCTGACCCGGAAGTCAATCGACAAATCGGCTACAGACCTATTTCCTTGTTTGAGGTCTAATAAACCACAAGATTCAGTACTTTGGTCAGAATCATGGTTAAAAACTAGCGAGAATTCTTTTAAGAATTGCTCGAATGTACAGGAAAAACTGGATTCAGAAAGAAATCGGGCTTCGGCCCAATCAAGGGCTCTTCCAGATAACTGAGATATGATAAAGGCTATTTTTCTCTTGTCGTTGGGAAAACTGGCAGGAGAGTGTTCGAGAATCAGCTTACATTGAAAAAGAAATCCCTGGCACTTACTTGGTAAGCCAGATAATTTTTCCGGAAGTGAGGGGCTGAATTCCGGAAATGACGGACTGGGATCTGATCTGATAGGCGGATTAGCCTCCGGAACTGGAACTTGAGCAGGCTCCGCTCTGGGAGTAGCTTCACGGAGATATAGCCAGCTAGCTCCTGCAAAGTTTGGTTGGTTTGATCAAGTCAGATATTAAACTCACGGAGAGCGGTGTCATGGCCTTGGATGAGCACTCCTTGCTGGTCCAAAATCCTCCGGAGTGTGTCTGCTGGGTTAGGTTGTTGGCCAGAGTGTTCTGTCATGTTGGCTTTCAGGGATCTAACCCACATGCAGAACACTCAGAGACTCAGAGACTTTTAGAGACCTCCAGATACCAACATTAACATTACTACATGATGCGTTACTGCGTTATTTTATAGTCTCGGGATCAGCTAGAGACTTAAAAGCTGCAGTGAAGTATTGTCTTCCTGCGTTAGAGTGAGGGAGACAGGAAGGAAACATGCTGAGGGCGTGTTTGTGTTTACCAACACTAGTCATCATGGTGGCTGCTGCAGAGCCCAAGTCGAGTTTCTTCACTTGGAGATATTCTCATTAATTTACAATTTGTGCCTTGGATCAAAGATTCTATCTACAGCCCAGAACAGCAACTGTAATCTGTTGAAACACCTACAAAAGCAACATGCTGCGACGAAGCTAGAAGCTACCGGTGTCGTGCCAAGGTAGTTATCCCTGGGAAAATTTGTATCCCCTCGTCGGGAGCGCGCACGGAGTAGGACGAACAACCCGACTTAACTCCGCCTCAATTCCAACGTGCAGAACTTGTAATTTGAAAGGTTGTACGTGTATGAAATTTGAGCTTTACTGTTTTATTCTTTACTTCACATGTTATAGCAGAATATCGCCAGTGATATTGATCTAAAACTAATAATAAAACACAAACGTTTGCTTGAAAGCTGGTCGCTGACAGCAATGTCTACTCCTTCCTCTGAAAGCAAACAGATCCTTGTTCTTTTCCACACGTTCATTAAAAAAATCTCTCATTGTTTCACAGTGTCCAAATGTTCTCATCCCATTGAAAACTGTTGTAAACCATATACTTGTAATAAAAATGAAATAGAAAATGGAGTGCACGTGTAATCATTAAAGACTATATGCAGAAGGAAATAATTTTTTCCTGGTTGAAATTTAGTACTTAAATCTATATTTGTGTTATATATTAACTTACGATTTATCACTGTTGTACTATCCTTAATAAACAGTTTGCGTTCTAACATCAGCCGTTTTATTTCATCCCATATTGCCAGAATTGGCAATATGGGATGAAATAAAACCTGCTGTAATCTGTTCCCCCTGTCTAAATCAAAGAAAAAAGGTCCCAGCTTTTTCATTTTTGGCTTATAAGCTTCTTTTATGATGACAATTTATTCCTGAAACTTTGAAGGTGATTGACCTTTGTTTCTTAAAGTTATAAGGGGGGAACAAATTATAGGAGGCCACCTGCTGTAAAGGGCAATTTTGCAGGCAACTTTTTGGCACTTTGAAACATATCTTTGTTGCTTGTATATAGAATTGCTTAGCAGAGTTTCATGATGCAAGTGCATGTCAAGTTCTTCAACAAATGGTATTATTCTCCAGTGCAATAACATTTCTGAAATGAAGGCTATAAGGGCATAATGTGAACCTTTAAAAAAAAGTAACTAAATAGTTACTTTTTACAGTAACGCATTACCTTATGGTGTAAGTAACTGAGTTAGTAACTAAGTTACTTTTGGAAATGAAGTAACTAGTAACTACGGTGGCTGGGAAGTGCAAATCAACAATACAAAATCTGAAACACTTTTAAAAATCTTGAAACAACTTTACATTTGAGAAAACAAATTTACAACAAACGAAACACTTTTACAAATCATAAAACAAATTTACATTTGAGAAAACAAATTTACAACAAACGAAACACTTTTACAAATCATAAAACAAATTTACATTTGAGAAAACAAATTTACAACAAACGAAACACTTTTACAAATCATAAAACAAATTTACATTTCAGAAAACAAATTTACAACAAACGAAACACTTTTAAAAATCATAAAACAAATTTACATTTCAGAAAACAAATTTACAACAAACGAAACACTTTTACAAATCATAAAACAAATTTACATTTCAGAAAACAAATTACAACAAACGAAACACTTTTACAAATCATAAAACAAATTTACATTTAAGAAAACAAATTTACAACAAACGAAACACTTTTACAAATCATAAAACAAATTTACATTTCAGAAAACAAATTTACAACAAACGAAACACTTTTAAAAATCATAAAACAAATTTACATTTCAGAAAACAAATTTACAACAAACGAAACACTTTTACAAATCATAAAACAAATTTACATTTCAGAAAACAAATTACAACAAACGAAACACTTTTACAAATCATAAAACAAATTTACATTTAAGAAAACAAATTTACAACAAACGAAACACTTTTACAAATCATAAAACAAATTTACATTTCAGAAAACAAAATTACAACAAACGAAACACTTTTACAAATCATAAAACAAATTTACATTTCAGAAAACAAAATTACAACAAACGAAACACTTTTACAAATCATAAAACAAATTTACATTTCAGAAAACAAATTTACAACAAGCGAAACACTTTTACAAATCATAAAACAAATTTACATTTCAGAAAACAAAATTACAACAAACGAAACACTTTTACAAATCATAAAACAAATTTACATTTCAGAAAACAAAATTACAACAAACGAAACACTTTTACAAATCATAAAACAAATTTACATTTCAGAAAACAAATTTACAACAAGCGAAACACAAGCGGCAAAACACAGTTACATAGCCAAAAACAAATTAACAAAAGACGGCTACACGGAAAGGGAATGTCCCAGTGGCAGGATGTGACGTCACGATTACCCTGACTTGTAGTACAAACAGCTCAATCTGTAGTCCTCCTGCTTGGAAAGTCAGCGGCGAAAATTAGATAGAAAGAATTGCACTGAAGCTGTTTTTACACTGACCGAACAATGTTTTGCCCTTATTGTGGAGCACATTTCAGCCAGTTTACACAATTTTGTTGTTCGTGCGGACGGTCTCTGGAACTTTTACGGGACACGGACCAGGTGGCAGGACCAAGCGCGCGGGTAACATCAAAGCTACAGTTAGACAGTTCTAAACAAAGTAAGTGGGATATTGGTTTGCACTAAGTTTAATGTACCTCCTGCATATATCAATGAAATAACAAATTCATTGGAACGTTTGTTTAACATGCGGTTAAGCCAAATGTTTTCTGTTTTGTTTTGCTTGTTCTGTGTTAGCATGCTATAAGTAGGGGCTGTTAATAAGCGTGTTTTAATGTAAAGCTTTCTATTCCAGAAGAACAGACATGCCCATCATACGAACAGTTCATTGAGTACAGGAGCTCTAAATCAAGAGAGCGACAGTCTTTTAGCTACGGGTCCAAATTAAAATGTCAACAACAGAGCAAACCTGTCCAGGTAAGTAGGCTACTCAACTATGTATGGGATATGAGGGGATACGATTTCTGTCGGGGATAACTACCTTGGCACGACACCGTCTTAACACTTGGAATACAGGATTATTACATTTTTACGTGATCGTTCTTGTGTTCTTTGTTACGAGATAAACATAGGACTGATGGTGGGTCATGGAACTGAATTAAAACCTCTAAGAGGGAAGACACTGCCTTTATTTACAAACACGGAGATAACAGCACAGGACCTATTGAAACAGGCTGTACAGAAAATGAGAACATTTAACAAGGACCTGGGGGAGGGGCCATACGTCCTTTTGTATCCAGACTGTACAGAGGTGGTGAATGTGCCTGGGACAGAGAGACCATTTAGATTGGCAGACTATAAAAAAGAAATAGGAAAGACATACCCCAGAATCACTGGGATGTCAATATTTGAGTTTTTTGTTTGTTTGTTTTTTTTTTTTTTTTTTTTTTTGCTGAATTTAAACTCTAGAATGCACGATAATGTGTTATTTTCAGCCTCTACTACAGCAGATGATACAGGTGCTGGTCATAAAATTAGAATATCATGAAAAAGTAGATTGATTTCAGTAATTCCATTTAAAAAGTGAAACTTGTATATTATATTCATACATTACATACAAACTCATATATTTCAGATGTTTATTTTGTTTAATTTTGATGATTACAAATGACAATTTGATGTTACCCTGATATGATGAATTTGAGATTTTCATTTGTTGTCATTTGTAATCATCAAAATTAAACAAAATAAACATCTGAAATATATGAGTTTGTATGTAATGTATGAATATAATATACAAGTTTCACTTTTTAAATGGAATTACTGAAATCAATCTACTTTTTCATGATATTCTAATTTTATGACCAGCACCTGTACCTCAGACTCTGATTCTGAAATTGTCATCACTTCTAGAAGCACAGCTGAGTTCAATCAAGCTGACACTGTGGTATGTAAGTTTTTCTCAAAAGTATTTTTTTTAGCATAAAACCATTAGCATATGTGTTCTGGTAAATCCTTCTGGAGAAATTTGATACACTTATTGTATTTTCAGAAAAAGTAACTACTATTTCACCAATGATGCAGTAAGCAATTAAGAAACTATTAAACATTTTAAGAGTTGTATGCTTTTCTTCTCAGGTTTTTGAACCACAAGACCACAGTTCCCCTGATTACAAATATGTTGAGAAAGAGTAAGTTTTTTTCTCAAAAGAGAGAATTTTTCATTCAGATATACCATTAATTACCCCAGAGCTTTTTTTGTTCTTATAAATATGTGGCTGGAGACACTTTATTTTTTACAAAATGCCATTTACAGTTGTGCTTAAAAGTTTGCATACCTTCAAGGTCAATTCACAATAGTAGTTCAAATAACAAGGAACTGATAAAGTCACAACAAATAAAAATGTACTGAATTATACTTTAGTTAAATTAAATAGTAATTTTGAATTTATTAAAAGAAATGTCCCAGAAAAATTAGAGCACCTTGCTCATGAACAGAGGACCAGAATACCATCAACAGCTGCAGACGTCTGATTGGACGTTAAAGCAACCCTTACCGATCTTGCATTTCATAAAGCACAGCAAGATTATTTGAATCTAAACAGTCCCACCTCACTCCTAAGACCAACCCCCCCCCACCCGCCTTCATTCTCTCTGCCTCCCAATGCAGAATCAAAGGTCTTTCAGGCAGGTCCCTCAGCCAATCCTATGGGTGCACCCCCCTGCAAGGATTGGTCAGAGTTTTCTTTGAATATTTAGAGATTGGAATAATATTTCATCAGTCAGTCATTTTCTGCACCGCATATCCAGTTCAGGGTTGTTGGGGTTGCTGGAGCCTATCCCAGCTATTATCAGCTGAGAGGCGGGGTACACCCTGCACAAGTAACCAGTCTGTCACAAGACCAACACAGAGAGACAGACAACCATTCACACTCACATTCATACCTAGGGGCAATTTAGAGTGATCAATTAACCTATCATGCATGTCTTTGGATGGTGGGAGGAAGCTGGAGTACCCGGAGAGAACCCACACATACACGAGGAGAACATGCAAACTCTGGAATAATATTTCATTTTGATTAATGGTGGGTCTGTTTGTAGTTCAGAATTCCATTACCTCATTCATGGCACTTTACTCTATTAAAAAATAGTGTAAGAATGCAATATTGGTAAGAGTTGCTTTAAAGAAAAGATATGGTTATGTTTGCCTCAGAATTTTGCCCAATATTTTAGTTCAGTAGCCCATCACGATCGCTTACTTGTTTTATTTTTTGTGTATGATATATCTGTTGAATCACAATTCAGAATCAATCATTATGTTCATATTTTTTTAATGTGTTATTACTTTTGTCAATTTCAATTCATTCCACTGGCAGCAGATTTTTTTTCACTCTATTTAATGGTAAGAGGTGTAAACTTTCAAGCACAACTATATAATGAAATTATCATATTTATGTCTCTTTTATGTTCCTTGACATCAAAATGTTACCCACAATACTGTTATACTCTGTGTCTTCAAAATTATAACTTCACCAATTTTTTCATATTTCAGAGATGTGCCACAACGTTTATCCACAGTACAACCTGGACAGGTATTCAGGCACTTTATGTCAACCTGGAGTTTCTTGCCATCATTGTATTTTTTTTCAGATTGTGATATCTGATACAGAGGATCTCGATCCACTTGAAAAAAACAATCAAGTCACAACTCCTTATAGGTTAGTGAAAGATGATACTGCCCCCTATCCCCAATACTTCCATTTTTTTTTTGTTTGGACATTTGGGTCCAAACAATGAATGGTTGAATGGAACATGTTTTAATGTGGAAATAATTGTTTTTCAACAGCAAATACTCTGAAATGTGTGCACCCTGTATTGAGGAGGATGATGAGGAACTGGTTGAAGTTGCTTCAACAAATGTACAGCACACAGCAAAGTAAATTGACATATAAATAATATTTTTCTAAAAAAGAAAAAAAGAAGTACTCTGCAGTCATGAATATCTTCTTACTGTGTCACTCTTATCATTACAGGGAAGATTTAAACATTACTCTACCTGACATCATTGCAAACCTGTCCCACACTATTGATCATGGAAGAGTCAGCAGATTCAACATCTCAAGGGCAAATGTTTGGGATGGAGCAATTAGAGGTTTCAGGCGTTCATCATACTCTGAAACCTGTGACATGCTAGTAAAATTTACTGATGATGCTGGAGTTTTTGAAGAAGGACTTGACACAGGTGGCCCAAAGCGGGAATTTTTGAGCCTGCTTATGAAACATCTGAAAGATCGTCCCATCTTTGATGGACCAGAAGGACATCGGTTCTTGGTGTACAATGCAAATGGTATGTATACTGTAGGATCAGGTATTTGCTAAATGTTTACATAGCTTTATTTATTGAATTTTTTTTGTCACTATTCTTAATGAGTTGTCAGACCTCCTGATTTTTTTCCCCAAAAAAGCAATCCCTGACTAATCTAGCAACATTTTCTGGTGTTATTTGAGACTTTTGGAGACAGCCCTGATATAACATATTGTTTATTCCTCTCTGAGTCATGGTGCTGCCCCAGGGCCCGTTCCGTCCAAAAAAACTCAACTGTCTCGTTGTTCATGCCCAGCATCCAGCTCTCAGCATCAGTTCCAGCTACAGTCAGAGCAGATTTTCACCTCTGCTCTATTAAGCAGACTCAAAATTAAACTCAAAGCTGACACTAGCTGATCCCCCCCTGGTTTACCATTAATATTAATGCCTCTTAATAAAGGGGAAAAACAACATTTAAAAAGTTAAAATTGATGGAACATGTTGTGCAATCTAAATTAAAGAACAGCCGAAGCTGTTTGTTAAAGTACTAAAAATGGAAGAAGAAAAAACTGTTTGATTTTTGGCAGAATCATATTATTATTATTTTTTTTATTTAAATCAATTTTTAAAATTTCTGAGAAATTGATAGAAATTGAGTTTACAACATTAATGTCTGTATCTATAATTTGATTCAGCTTTTTACAAAAATTAATTTAAACACAAAAAATGCTTTTGGGGCGAAGATTGTTATGTAAATAATTGAGATTAATTAATTGAAAAACCTCACACTGGATTTTTTTTTTTTTAAGAAAGAAAATCAAGTCCCACCCCATCCATCCAGTCTGTCCATCTATCTATCCATCCTCTCTACCTGTCGGTCTGTCCGTTCGTCTGTCTGTTGTGTCATTGTATGTACTGTATATGTAAATAAAATTCTCTATGTATTAATTTACAGCTGTTAGGGAGGATGAATACTTCTTGGCAGGAAAGATGATTGCAGTGTCAGTTGTGCACGGAGGTCCAGGACCCCATTTCCTGTCAGAAGATCTGGTACATTATCTCGCAGGACAGGCTTCATTCAAAGCAACAGTTGCTTCAGTAACTGATGAGGGTATAGGGAAAGCTTTACAAGAGGTGAGGACTGCACACAGTTCCAGTGTTATAGGTCAGAGTAAATGCATTGAGTTATTTTAAGAGTTTTCACTTACTTTAGTCTATATTGTACATTAGCTTAATTTAGTTGAGTTTACGGTATGTGTTATTTGTCTTGAATAAAAAGGAGGAAGGAAATCTAGGCTACAGTCTTAGTGTTTATGTTCATTTTTATATCCTTCAGATTGAGAATGCTGCTTCAGTGGATGTCCTGCGTGAATGTGTCATTCGACACAGCACTATGCTGCAGACAGCAGGTTGTCTGCGACATGTTTCCTCTGTTGAGGAAAAGAAAGACATTGTGTCCGACTATCTCCGATGGTACATTATTGACCGCAACTCATCTGCACTTGACAGGTGAGATTGTATTAAAAATAATAAAAATAATTCTACAGTTGTGTACAAGTTGTTTACAATTTACTAAATTATGATTTAGTAAATTGTACTTTATTTATACTTTTTCAGTTTCTTTTTATTGGAATTAATATTGTGAATTTAACCTTTCTTTAATGGTTGTGCAAATATTCAAGCACAACTGTATGCTTGTGTTGTGAACAATTTGAGTGTGGGAACAATACAAACTGTCAGAGCTTATATTTCACAAGGCCATGTATGTATAAACATATTAATACAGTGTGATCAGGCAGTGACATCATGTGTTCATTCTTCAGATTTAAAGATGGTCTTTCAGCACTGCACTTTTTGGATGTGCTTCAGCAACATCCCACCATGCTGTCCCCAGTCCTGTGCCACATTGAAAAGAAGCTCACAGCTCTTGAGCTAGAGCAACTTTTCAAACCTAACTTCAGTCCAGTCGGGAGTAACAGGAGACTTCTAGAGAGTCAAACTATGGGCTACTGGGCAGATTATCTCCTTGACTGTGAAGGTTTGTAAATCTTTTACAACTACGTGTGAAAAAACAATGTGAAATAGTGTCTGGAAAACCATATCTTTTCTTCACAGAAGGCCAGGCTGCTGTGTCTGTGGAGGATGTTTTGATGTTTGCAACTGGGCTGACATCACTTCCCCCTTCTGGATTGGACCCACTGCCAAAACTACACTTCCTGGATGACTCTCGATTCCCAATGGCTAATACATGCCTGAACACATTGAAACTGCCACTGATAGATTCATACCCTGTGTTTAAAACACAAATGGACTTTGGCATTCAGAATTCTCCAGGGTTTGGCTGTTTCTAAGTCATGTGACTAGATAACCCCAGAGATCAAACTTGTTTGGTTGTACCACTACAGATGCAGATTTGTACCCATATTTTTCTTTTCTTATTTGTTATATGTTTTGAATGAGAGAGGGGTGGGGACATGGTGGTATCAACGCCAAAAACAATTTCAGTTTCAAGAGGTCACCCTGACTGTCAACAAGAGCTGCTCTTTATTTTTTCTATTCTTTTAGAAGACAACATTGTAAATTCAGTTAATACTGTAATCGTGCTTCTGAATTTAAATATTACTCAAGGTACAGATTTATTTCCTTTATGTTCTTAAAATAGTTGCATGACAAACATTGATTTCTTAAATGTCACTATTTTTACATTGGTTTAAAAAGAAAGCTTTTGAAGGAGTAATATGTTCTATATACTCATAGCGTAGGCATAAACATACATTACTGTGCAATACTTTTCTTTTTCAAATGTTTGGGAAGGTAATATTTCTTGATGTTCGCCCACTTTCTTCAGGTTAACATTTAAGCATTACAGTAGACAAGTGCTAATGCAAAGAAACAGTGAAACTAGCCAATATTCAGCTTTTTCAGTTTTCTAAGCAGTTGTTGGTGATTCACACTGATTTAGAATTGAGCAATTTCTTTCAGCTTTAAGTAAAGTTCTGCAGCAGACTCCCAGTTGTGTGGTGTTTGTAAATTATGATTCTCCATAACCATGTCCATGTACTCCTGTATATTTGAGTTCCCACAAGGAGGTAAGCACAGCCTGGACTCAGGGAAAGCATCCAGCTCAGCTTGATGAATGGGGAATCCACAGTCCCTGGAGCCATACCTGAGAAAAATGAAAGACAAAATAGTGTTGGTATACATTCAGGCATTTAAAATAAAGAAAAAAAACAAACAAACAGTTACCTGTGTGGTAAATAGTACAGCTCATTGGGCACTCCTCCTGGACATGAAGCTGTTCTTGAAGGACGTATCCGATGACTGTTCCACCGTGTCACACACTCATCTAGGTCCTTTTGAACAACCTCACCAAAGCAAAATCTCAATAGGTACTGATGCTCATGACTTCCATTGAAGTGTCCTGCATCTCTCAGGTCTGCAAATAGCTCCATCCAAAACTGAGCCCTATAAAAATGTATATAAGTTTTAGCGATTTTAGTTGTGTTTGAAAGTTTACATCCCCTTCCATAAAATAAAGGGCAAAATTCACAGTAATGATTCAAAATAATTAGAAACTGTTAAATGTAATAATAAATAAAAATGTAGTAATATATAATTTAATAAAGTAAAATATTGATTTTTGGAGTTTTTGTTTAAATAAATAATTTATATATTAAAAATTAAAACTGTCCCCGACAAATCAAAACAACTTGCTCATGAACAGTGGAGCAAAACACCTGTCAACAGGTGTAGAAGTCTTATTGAACATTACAGAAAAAAATCTCTGATTGCAGTGGGTTGCTCAACAACATTTTAATTTAAGAGCTCCATCATGCTTGTATTCTTGTTTTATTTTTGCTTCATCTGTTGAAGTAGCAAACAAAATCAATGTCATGATGTTTCTAAAAATTCTTATTATTAATTTAGTCCATCTCAACATTTTTCACTCAGCTGATTTTTTTTCTGTAGGTTATTTAATGGGATGATAAAATTTCAAGCACAAATATATATGAATTTCATACAAATGAGTCAAACCAAATATTATATTTACCTCCCCTTTCTGTATATGGACCACCAGGACTCAATTCGCTGGTTGTTGGTAGAGGAACCAAACATGTGGCTTGATTCACCTCTGAAGTGGTCATCATGATGGTGACGTAGCGAACACTGAACAGCAGCCATGATACCATTTTCCGTGCCACAATCAGTTCTCAGTCTCATGGGGACAACACCAAGGTCTCGGACACACGACAAAAAATTGTGCGCGATAACTGAAGGGTTATTGTTTGTTGGTCCACATTTGAGCCACAGGACTTTCCGAGAAAATCCATCTATGCATCCTGAAATGGCTAACCCAAATGGTTTAAGTTTGTCATATCCATCGGCATGCCACATATAGTTGGGTCCAAGTGAATGATAGGTTCTCCTGATGAATCGTCGGCGTGCTCTCCTATCGCATCCTCGAGGATTAAGCGTCCGGAGTAAATTCATGACATCGTCTCTCTTCACTTTGAGATGGTGCTTTTGTCTCAGTACTTGCCACATGGTTCTATACCCAAACAGTTCTCCAGGTCCACGAAGTTCTTCCCTGATTGCGTTTATTACAGTGGCTCTGGGGCTATAATATTTTCTCCTGTACAAACCAGCATTATTAAGTTTACTTTTAAGAGTTCTCAAACTCATCTTAACACCGTGTAAACTTGACATCATGTCCAAGATTACACTATATGAGTGACCCTCATTGAAATATTCAGTGCAGTATTGCAGAACATCGAATCCTGCCACCTGGTCCGTGTCCCGTAAAAGTTCCAGAGACCGTCCGCACGAACAACAAAATTGTGTAAACTGGCTGAAATGTGCTCCACAATAAGGGCAAAACATTGTTCGGTCAGTGTAAAAACAGCTTCAGTGCAATTCTTTCTATCTAATTTTCGCCGCTGACTTTCCAAGCAGGAGGACTACAGATTGAGCTGTTTGTACTACAAGTCAGGGTAATCGTGACGTCACATCCGGCCACTGGGACATTCCCTTTCCGTGTAGCCGTCTTTTGTTAATTTGTTTTTGGCTATGTAACTGTGTTTTGCCACTTGTGTTTCGTTTGTTGTACATTTGTTTTCTCAAATGTAAAGTTGTTTTATGATTTGTAAAAGTGTTTCGCTTGTTGTAATTTTGTTTTCTCAAATGTAAAGTTGTTTTATGATTTGTAAAAGTGTTTCGCTTGTTGTAATTTTGTTTTCTGAAATGTAAATTTGTTTTATGATTTTTAAAAGTGTTTCGTTTGTTGTAATTTTGTTTTCTGAAATGTAAATTTGTTTTATGATTTGTAAAAGTGTTTAGTTTGTTGTAAATTTGTTTTCTGAAATGTAAATTTGTTTTATGATTTGTAAAAGTGTTTCGTTTGTTGTAATTTGTTTTCTGAAATGTAAATTTGTTTTATGATTTGTAAAAGTGTTTCGTTTGTTGTAAATTTGTTTTCTGAAATGTAAATTTGTTATATGATTTGTAAAAGTGTTTCGTTTGTTGTAAATTTGTTTTCTGAAATGTAAATTTGTTTTCTCAAATGTAAAGTTGTTTCAAGATTTTTAAAAGTGTTTCAGATTTTGTATTGTTGATTTGCACTTCGTTTTCTGAAATGTAAATTTGTTTTCTCAAATGTAAAGTTGTTTCAAGATTTTTAAAAGTGTTTCAGATTTTGTATTGTTGATTTGCACTTCCCAGCCACCGTAATTAACAGAAACTAGTTACTGCTTTTCAGTAACTAGCACAACACTGGTTATGTGCCATGCAGATGTCCTTATTTTGCGAAAGAATGAAGCAGAGCATTATGAATGGCTCACTGCTGTCCTGATGTGACTTCAAGAGGCAGGACTAACACTAAATGAGAAATGCATCTTTGCACAGTTGGAAGTTCTTTTTGTAGGACATAAAATCAGTGCAGCAAAATTCCTCCCTCACTTTGCAGTTTCTGTCAAACCACTCAGAGATCCTGTGATAAAAGACAATGATTGGGTATGTAGATAACAACATTAAAGGTTGTCTAGGCAAGTTTAGACAACCATTTAGCATTACTACACTATGGGAGAGATAGATCAGTCATAAAAATGGATGGCCTTTGCGTTAGAGGGACAGAAATTTTATTATGTGAATACAGTGGGTGAGAATGGAAGAAGGGTGGCTGTGTATGTGGAAAGAAATCCAAGCTATAGAGTAACTGATTAAATCACAAAGCTGATGGAGCTGAATGTATGACGATTGAGGTCTGCATGGAGAGAGGAAAAAAGTTCTGGCTAGATGTATCTGCAAACACCAGGGTTAGACATGTAAATGTTTAGGGTACGGTTTTATGTAACATTCATAAATGTAAACCAGAAAGTCTCTTTCATTTCATAAAAGTACTAAAGAGTTTATAAATACAGAATACAGTTTGATCCTTTATCCAAAACTCGGCAGACAATTTAATATATTATATATATTTTTTTAAAACCTAATAGATAAAAAAATATGTGAGTTGTTTATATCAGTGACCATCTGCTGCTGTCTGTAGTTTATGACAATTATCACAGGAAAGCTGCTGAGGACAACAAGTAGAAAAAATGAGAACAGAGGAGTCAATTGTTGTATATAGAAATTATCCACTTAGTCAACACTAGAACTCAATACTCGAGGCGAAAAACATAGATAAAGCTATGTTATGTTTCTACACATTTTCATTTATATAGTGCTCTGTGAAAGTATTCAGCCCCCTTGAAAATTTTTGACCTTTTGCAACCTTTCAGGCTTCAAACATAAAGATATAAAATTGTTAAGTTTTGTGAAGAATCAACAATAAGTGGGACACAATCATGAAGAGGAACACAATTGATTAAACAATAGGGTGTGGAGATCATTCAGCCCTCTTAAGTTAATACATTTCCTGCGATTACAGCCACAAGTTGCATTTTATTTGTTAAAAAAGTTTAAAATATCCAATAAATTTCGTTCCACTTCATGATTTATCATGCTTTTATGATTACACTGTCCAATAAATACCAAAAAAAAAAAAAAAAAATAAGCTAAATATTCTGATACAGTTCAGAAACAAAAGCACTGCAAAATGCCTATAAGAAAGAACGCACTGCATAGATAATTCTCTAAGTAAAGGAGGATTGAGACAGAAAATAGGTACAGAGATACAGGTTGAAATAACCAAATTTTTAAAAAAGAAATAAGAAAATAAACTGTTAGAATAAAGAATAAGAATAAAGAATATTAAATATGTTAAAAATATTTTAACAGCAACTGTATAATTATCAATTATATGACTGTAGTGGTTCAAAAATGAAAAGACTATTTGATAAATGTCAGCCCAAAACAGGGAGGAAAGATTCCTGATCGTGAAATAACAGATAACTACAATGAGGTACTCATATCCGGAAATTCAAATGCTATGTTTCTCACAGCAGTGGGAGAGAGAGAGAGGGATTATATCCATTCTTAACAAATGTAAAAGGATAAGTCCCCTGACTGTGATGTCACCATAATTATATAGAGAGAGATTCATCGATATAACAGAGATATTAATGCAATTTTAAAAACACTAACTCATATCTATTACCGCGCTTTACAAACTATTACATTTCCCATTTTCCAATAAATATTCTAAAATCATACTAAATTTACCAATCATAGGCCTGTTTCTCTCCTTTCACAGTTTCTGAGATTTTAAAAATACTCTTTATCACCAGAGTGGAAAAGTTTATTAATAAACACAAACTTAGATCATGGAAATCCCCAACTTTGGCAAACCTGGAATGAATACTGTAGAGGGCATTATCAGCTCCATAGATAAAAAAAAAAAAAAAAAAAAAAATGCAATTGGTCTGATTGTTGATCTAAACAAGGCACTTGACACAACTGAGCGCAACGTTATAATCAGAAGATTTGTGCATTATTCTGTAAGGGAGGGTTCTTTAGTGGAAAGAGAACTAGTAAAGGAACAGACAACAATTTATAAAAGTCCTCAGCCTTTGAACCCGTTCAAGGAGCCATAGTTTTCACTAAACTTGACCTCAGAAACGCATATCACGTACTTCGCATAAGGGAGGGAGACAAATGGAAAACTGCCTTCACAACTCCCAATGGACACTTTGAGTACCTGGTAATGCCTTTAGGTTTAACTAACGCCCCCGCTTGCTTCCAGGCCCTGGTCAACGACATTCTGAGAGAGTTTTTGAACATCTTTGTTTTTGTTTATATTGATGA